CCCAGGCCACAAAGCCGGAAAGATTGGGGACCGCTGATCTAGATCAGTGGTTCTCAACCTTTTTAATGCTGCGACCCCAACCGGTCGTAAGTCGAGGACTAAACCGGTCGTAAGTCGAGGACTACCCAACCGGTCGTAAGTCGAGGACTTTCCCTGCCCGGGAGCGCCGTGCATGCGTGGTTCCGCCCCCTGCGCCGGCTGAGGCGTAGCTGGCAAGCGGCAGAGACGGAGCAGGCCGACCACCAGCTGGCCCAGCCCAAGGGAGGTAAGGCACCCGCCGGAAAAGGGGGGGAAAATGGCGGACAAAAAAAATGGCGGACAGCCTTGCTTGGCGACCCCCGTGAAATGGTCGATCGACCCCAAATGGGGTCCCGACCCACAGGTTGAGAACCACTGATCTAGATGAATCTGCAGGATACGTTTAAAATTTACTCTCTTTTAGGTTTTATAAACTCTGATTGGGAACATCTGTCCAGGAACATAAACAAAAAAATTTATAGACTACCCGCTTACTAAATAGCATGGATAATTACCATCTGGGCAATACCGCGGTTTGTGAGGATATAGCGGGCATGAATAAGTCCGTAGAGCATTTCAGCTGCCTGTTCAATCAAGTCACTCTGGTTAGGGTTATCCTCCAGCTCTTCATCTGCAAGAGAAAGGGAAGGAAGTGCTCTGCTGCAATACACTGTGACATTGACAAAGAGGAAGAAAGTTGTACTCTCCTAGGGAAGCATTAACTGATTCTACACGGTTATCTCACTTTGTTCATTTATTTACCCAGTATTTTCTTAACCATCTTGTCTTTCACCACTCCTGCCACGCTAAATTGTAATCCACAATTTAATACAACTGGTAAAATATTTTGATAGGTTTAACAAATTAAGATCAGAAACTTTTAAATTACTGTTATCTATTTCTCAAACATGATAGCTGTCTATGTCATTTCTCAGATGTTTCAAATCAACGTATTTTTAAATGTATATTTCTCCTACTCCTTCTATATTGTTAGTTATTCTTAGCAAGCCTCAGAATCTTTATCTTTATACGTATTAACATCAGAGAGAGGGTGAACTGGTGTACTGGTTAAAGGCACCAGGCTAGAAACCAGGGGGCTGTGAGTTCTAGTGTGGCCTTAGATACAAAAAGAGTTTGGTGACTTAGGGCCAGGCCCTTTCTCTTAACCCTAAAAAGAAGGCAATGGCAAACCAACACCAGAAACATTGCCAAGTAAACTGCGAGAATTTGTCCGTGTAACTGCCAAGAATCAAGACTAACTTGAAGGCACAAAACAGAGAGGAAAACAAGAGACAGTATTTGACATTTTGAGTGCCCTGCAGAATGTTAATAGAAAACGGGAAAATTAAATAATTGAAAATCCTGCTTTTGGGTACTGAAGCAGGATTTATTTCAGATTACCAGGTCCTCAGAGAATTAACATTTATGAAGACAGTTGAACAGAGGGCGGTTCGTAATAGCATATTGTATAACTTGGGGCTTCTATTCTTATGACATGAAATAGGAAAAAGTATGCAAAATGTGGTTCCTGGAATTCTTTCCAAACTCTTTGCTAGCTGTTGCCATAGACGGAGTCTGTATTTTTTTCTGTTAGGAAGTAATCTGTGATATGCAGTTTTCTGCTTTCTCTGCCTACTGCCTCTGTGCATGTCGATTGTGACATGGCGGCCCAGGCTACAAATGCTCTGTTGTCAGTCACGTGACTGGGAGGAAGAAAAGATGGAGGCCTAGAAGGGAGCAGTCAACAGCATTACATGGTGCTGCCCAACTACATCTTCCAAAATTGGAGGAATACTTTCCTCCAAAACCTTACACTGGATCCAGCCCATTTTCAAGTTCAATCTCCTTTTGTTGGCTTTCTGCCCTGGACCCCATACAGCAAATATGGACCCATTCTATTGAGTGTCATTCTGGTGATAAATTGTCAAACAAGAGAGAACTCCATCTGTTGTACAGGTAGTCCTCAACTTACAACTATTTGTTTAGTGACTGTTCAAAATTACAACGGCACTGAAAAAAGTGGCTTATAACCAGTTTTCACACTCATGACTGCTGCAGCATCCCCATGGTCAAGTGATCAAAATTCAGGTGACTGGCAATTGGCATGTATTTACAACAGTTGCACATGTAATTACTATTTGTAACCTTCCCAGCCGGCTTCCAACTAGGAAAGCCAATGGGGGAAGCCAGATTTGCTTAACGACCGCGTGATTTACTTAACTAGAATGATTGCTTAACAACTGTGGCAAAAAGGTTGTAAAATGGGCACAACTCATTTAACTGTCTTGCTTATCAATGGAAATTTTGGACTCACTTGTGGTAAGTCTGTTTTGAAAAATTGGAAAGAAGAAAAAAGATGCCTGAAGATTATGAATCCCAACATTTTCTACCTTGGTTAGCAAAAGCTTCCCATTTGATCAACCTGTGGCAAGTCATGTTTCTGATCCTGGCTATATATCTATGAACCGTTTCCAGTGGAATATCCAGTGGGCCCTGATTAGTTCCCCCAAAATGTCTTCTGAATAATGGCTATTATATACCTGCCAAGTGCATGTTGCCAGCATGCATACCAACATCAAGCATGGAGGCACAGCAGGGTCAAGAAGTTACAGCCCACTAATCATGTTTTCAAAAGTCCCTGTAATGTCAAGTAATCCCTCGTACAAACAGATTTAGATCGTTTCCCACCTGGTTCCAAATCGAGGATCATATCCAAAGCCTGG